TCCACTCTGTATAGGTATATATATATTGCTTGATTTATCTAATGCTTCATGAGACAGTGTAAAGTTGACAACATGTGTGAATTAAGGAGGGCCTTTAATCGAATGCAGTTAAATTTCCAACTAATATCAGATTTGTACACACGGCCACAGATCAAGCTTCCCAAAACCAGTATAAACAGGACTCATGCGTTGTTTATTATCGTAGACGACTCGGCGCCCGGCGAGGCCCTAGCAAGTTCCGTTTATTGGTACTGGTTTTGGGTAACTTGATCTGAAACTGTGTGTACTTTTGCCACTTACTTATTATATTTTGTCATTTCAGACAAGAAAATACAACAACGCTGGCGAACAGCAAGGGACACTTACCAGAAAGACAAGATATCTGAAAAAAAATCAGCCATCCGGCTCTGGGAGTAAGAAGAAGAAGAAGAAATATTCTTACTATGACATTTTGACTTTCTTAGACAGTACAACGGAAACTGCTGGAGAAGAGTCACTCTGTGAAGAAATGTCTGAACAAAGTAATTTAGAAACACCTAATGAGTCCACGCAACCAGATACTTCACGTCAAGAAAGTTCTCACCCAACATCAAAACAAAAACAAGTAAAATCTAAAAAGCAAGCACCATCTGAATTTGAGGCACAGTTATTAGAATGCTTAAAGTCTAATCAACTGGAGCTAGAAAGTGAGGATTTGGCTTTCTTTCAGTCTCTGCAGCCTTCATTAAAAAGATTCACTAGATATCAAAAACTAATGTTCAGAACAAAAGTGTTAAATATAGTTATGGAAATGGAAAGTCAAACACAACCTGCATACTACAGTCCCATACCTACAACAAGTTCTAGTGCTTTTACTGAGCTTGACAGTTTGTCACCGATAAATCAAGATTACCAAACCAATAGTATAATCCAGGATACTTCGAGTCTTAACGACAATGCTATTAGTTCTGCTGCAGTGAATGACAATGAAACTCTTATTTCGACTGAAAGCGGCCTGTTTAATATCACGTCTTATGACGTAATTTATACCCCAGCAACAACATCATCTACAGGCGAAAGTAATGTCAACGCTCAGGATACAAATTTACAAAGAAATGAATGATGTAAAATTTGATTTTTTAATTTATGAATAAAACTCTTTTTATTAAAATGAGTACGATTAACTTTTTTTTCTCCAGTTTCTCTTTAATTGTTTGTTTAGTCATATGAGTGCGGTTGTACACACGGCACAGATCAAGTTACTCAAATCCAGTATAAGCGGGACTCCGACGGGTTACCTAAGTATGATAATACGCAAGGCGCGAGTTCCATTTATGCTGGTTTTGGGTAACTTGATCTGTGGCCATGTGTACTTTATCAGATAAAAAAAAGGATTGTGTATGTAGGTTGAACGTACCAATCCCAAACCAATTAAGGACTTTTTTTGACTTTAAATTACTGTCATGTGCAAACCTATAACTTTTATCTATATTATAATAAGTAGCGTGTGATGAAAGGTAGGAATGATTCCACTTTAATGGCGACATTTTATGAGTGAAATAATCTTATTTAATGAAATTTCAACATGAAATTGAATGAAATTATGAACAATGAAATTTCAGAGTACATGACAAAATTTTTTTTTTGCACATGTAAATTTACACATGACAGTAATTTGAAGTCAAAAAACGTTTATCCTACCTGTTCAAATCCCTTTCCACTAAATCATAGCAGGAAATTAAATATTTAAAATTTAAAACTTACCTTAATGTAATAGCGAGCCTCTCAATCGGTTGTATTGTAATCCTTCGTAAACTGCTTTTTTGTAGCTTATTCTCAATTTTACACAACAGTTCATCAAAAGAACGAATGGACATTCGAAAGTAATTTTTAAATTTACGTTCATTATTTTGTAGTTTTCCAAAGCGTGTAACAAACGCCCCAGCAAGAAGCCTATTTTCAAGAAAGGGATCAACATGTACTCTTGTCTTCTTGTTTCGTCGTTTGTAAAGTATGTAAGCGACACATATTCTTCTGACATTGATCATTTTTGAACACGTCTATACCGTTACGCAGCCCGTAGAAAACTGAAACTCATGCTGCGTATGATCCGCAGCGTGAAATTTTACGCATGCGGTCCAATCCCGCGTGCGTGAGCAAATCCGCGTGACACTAAAAGCGCCCTTACGGCCGATAGTTTGCACTGTGTAGTATTAAATGTACTGGCTAGATCTCAATAAGCCGCGGTTGTCAGCCGCGTCCGTCAGCCGCGACCGATAATTTGTTCTCAGCTTAAGCCGCGACTGTCAGCCGCGGCTGACGGACGCGTCCGATAATTTCTTCTCAGCTTTACAACCTGGGTGAATCGCGATTTTAGGTTATTTTACGCAGGTAGCAAGAGGTGGTGACACTCTCTATACGTGAGAGTTTAACGCTGGTGACCTTGAGTCGAAGCGTGTAACGCTAAAGTTGATATCGAACCGAAATATAATATTATAGACTTGTGCCAAAGAATATACGTAGTAGGTAGGGTCGTTGCGCTGGTTTTCGGCCTTTTAGCGGATTTGTCAACGTTAAGGTACAATAAAAATAATTGCCATTATGGTGACCTAGTGCTGTTAATGTTAATTTGCAGCTTATATAATGCAGTTTTCATTTTTATAATTCATTGACTATAATACATTGCTCCAAAAGAAATCTTTTTTAAAATAATTTTTGATGTGAAAAATATGCAAAACGCTAGTTTTCGGCCCCAAATTTTAGATTTCGGCCTACAAGAATTTTAGTTTTCGGCCACTGTATTAGAAGAAGTAGTACAAACTTAAAAGTGTTTTTGTAAAATCAGAAAATGGCAAAACGGTTTCGGAAATCGGTGCATTTAGTTTCTTCAATCGGTGCTTGCGATTTTTAACCGTAACATTATTTTTTTCTTTTCGGGGGTGGTTTTGATATAAAATAATAACCACGATTAATCACTTTTCTTTGAATCATAATGCAATGATAAAATATTTTAAAAATAGCAATCAAATCTTCTCATTTACGAGTATTTTGTACTTTCTCATATTTTAGTTCAACAAAATTTGTTATCATTTCAGATCATCAGTACATCTCAAATCCATTTGGTGCAAAAGTCACATCCAGTATTTTTTTCCAGATCTTCTTCTGTATCGTTTTTTATTTTTTACTCTTACCCTTTTCTCCTTCATAGAATTCTCGGATTTAGCGATTTTCCGTATTTGAACTTTAGTACTCTTTAATTTTTCTTTATATTCTTTTATTTTTCGAAATTTCTTAGTTTTTACTTCTCTGTTTTAACTTACTCTTTATCTTCATAAAATTTTCGCCACACCGCAGATGAAAATGCTACAGAAGAAGGTGCACGTGTATGACAGTTATTTTTTTTTACGGGTTGCGGTTTAATTAAATGTTTTTTCCAATGCATCTCTGTATTCTTTACTTAATAGTACTGAAATCAATGTTTCACTAGTTTGTAGAGGTGTACTAGTCTGTTTTGTTGGAATATCAACCCAGACATTTTCTAAAGTTTCAGAGATCTCGTTTGTTATCATCGGTGTTTGTAGTGATATCATCGTGGTCATTTCGTCGAGTCGTTATTGTTTTATTACTGAAATTTATTATCATTTCAGAAATTTTCAGTGCTGTTGTCGTTGGTAGGCTTACTTGAGTTTGAATTACAAGAACATCAAATAACGATACTAAGGAACCAATATCCAAGTAACTTCCTGACAAATGCAATGTCGAAATTTTGTTATCGATTAACGATTCTGATGCATCGGTAGATGAATAAATAGTTACCAGAACATCGTGAGTTAGAATATTTTTATCTTCGTGTGTTGCACAGACTTTCTGGAGACTTAAATAGACTTAGCGGTCTTATATTGCTTAATTGGAGAATAAAGTCTTCGTTGGCCTGTCTGTGTGGAACAATATTGATCTGAGAAGACTTTCTTTTCAATTTCCTTATCTCATTCACTACAATAGCAACTTTTATGTTTTTTTCTGCCAAAATTGATTTATAACGATTCAAAACTTCTAGGTCTGTGTTAGTTATTTCTTTAGAAATATTTATTCTTTCTTTCAATTATCACCGATTAGTCTTTCCAGGGTTTTCTGGACTTATTTTGAGTAATCCACTACATTGAGATCTATTTAATAAAGTCCCCATTTTATGAAGCCATTTATTTACTATATTTCTTTGGAGGAATCCATCCGAAGCCATCTGAAGTAAAGAAATGTCTTATTGAATCTTCTTCCTAAAACGCAACGTGAATGAAATAATTCATGAAATAGCCGTAAATGTAAACTAAAGCAGTATTCTATTTTCAGCCGCCTTATTATTTCATACAATTTTAAATTGGCCGAAAACTAATTAATTTATTTTTTATTTTAGAATCAATACAGCTTTCGGCCACGGCCGAAATGGGTATGGTACGTAGTTGAACAGTGAACCAACCAGGAACATTGAACCACCACCATATTAAAAAAACTGCAAGGTTGCCAATTCGACCGATCGTGTTAAAACTTTTCTCATAAGCACCCTTCCCCTCTCCCGTAGTTAGCTGGTGGCTGCAGCTTGAGCGTAATGTGTGACAGCGGTTTGTTTGTTTCTCGCCAAAAAACATAGAATTTTCACGTAAGTGTCTCGATTTTTATACATTTTGTTATTTATTCTAGTACCAAAAGCTTTATGGTGTCGATATTGTTGTAGTTTTAGAGGTTTTATGAGCATATTGCTTTCTGACAATTCAGCCTACAACCTATTTTTTTAAAATATTATATGTTAAATAGTGTGTGTATTGAACAGTGAACCATGTTCACATGTTCGCATAGTACACAGTGAACCGGTTCACTGTGTACTTTACGATCCTGGTTCACTGTTCAATGATAGTGTTATGCTGAAAATCAATAATATTTTTGATTGTTTTAGGATGTAAAGGCCAAGAAATAAGGAAAGAAAAATTGGAAAACACAAAAAAGACGATATGATGTCAGCATTACTAATGGTAGAAAATGGTAGCTCCATTAGGACGGCGTTAAAAACCAGTAAAATTCCCAACCCTACATTGCGCCGTTACGTTAGAAAAAAACGTGAACATGGTGATAATATATCACTCGAACCGAAGTATGATATTAATAAAGTGTATACTGGAGAACATGAAGAAATATTATTAAAATACTACAAAGACTGTGCACTTATGTTCTACGGTTTGGCCATCAAAGAATGTAGGAAGGTGGCGTACGAAATGGCAAAGGTTAATAGCATAAAAATACCAAGCTCATGGGAAAGGGATAAAATGTCAGGTTTGGAATGGTTTCGTTTCTTTAAAAAAACTCCTGATATTTCAGTAAAGAAACCAGAAGCTGTAAGTCTCGCACGAGCTACCTCATTCGATCGGAAAGTTGTGGCAATATTTAAAAGATCGCCTAAATAAAACCTTTATGTTTCCTCTAGAACCCGATATGGCTAATGTGAAACTCAATGACATTAAAATGATTCTCTCTCCTCCTTGTTTGTCAGGTCAGGTACAAAACGTCTGATTAAATATTCCTTCAATATAAACTTATCTTTACTAAATATGGCGTAAATATTTACTTTGACGCATTTTGATGTATTTTTTTCGTGATTCTTTAATTAGTCGGTAAATTAATGAAGACTGTTAATTATACTATTTGAGTAAGGCTGATTGTTAATTTTATCCATAGGTTTATATGATAACTTAGCGTTATAACCGCTGTGAAGAAAACTATACGAAACCTATATAATTTGAAATTATAATTGACATCATAGATTACTGTATATATACTAGAGATGACATGTTATGTTTATTTTTTGTTTACCCAGTTCTTGCTTCAACTAGTAGGTAATTAAATGAAGGCTGATTTTATTATTATTATTACCATAGAGAAATCTTTTCACAAATAAGGATTTTTACTGGTAACGAAATTGTGGCTCACTGTTGAAATACAGGTGGTTCAGTGTATAATACCTACAGTACACAGTGAGCCAATTTTTATTTTATTTTTAAACTTTATTTACAGTCTTTATTCGTTACTCTGGCTTTCTGTAACCTGAATATAAGAAACTGTATAAAATTGCCTAAACCATGACACCAAAACGAAATTCTTAACTTTAATTTCTAACAAGTTAGATGACTTAGAAAAAAGGTTGGTTCACTGTTCAACAACGCACCCTATTTCTATTTCATCACTAACTGTTCAAATTACTGTACTTTGTGGCCGAAAACTGAAATTTAGTATCTACGCACGCTACGATTCAATATAAGTAAGGAAGATGAATTATACGTAACCAAATAAATGAAAGAGACAAAGTATTTAGGTTAAACTCGGGCTACTTTTCGGCCGTAGGGCCGACGACCAAGTAATAGGCAGTGGCGTAGCGTGCCTTATTGGGGGCCTGTATCAAAATTTGTTTGGGGGCCCAACGAAAGCCCCGAAACCGCTCGCATTGAATTGAAAAAAATTATATGTTAATTATAGGTTAATATTTGCTATTAATACTATTATGAACTAAGCTAGCCAAACAATTCAAATCTAATATAAGCTTTTCTTGTCTAGTTCGGCGAACTTAATGGGTCGCGGAAAAAGTTTCTTCGTATTTCATATACCTTACACAATTTTTTTTTTCAAAGTTTCATTACATTTAAATATAACAAATATACAAGTATGGGCCATTTTGTTCGATAACTTGTTGCCATCTTGTAGGTAGATGACATCCCGTTGCTGTAGAAATTTTGGCATTTTGATCAAAAAATGCGACAAGTAGTTTTGACAGTCCTCTCTTGATATTACCCTAACACTATCCAAAGAATTCTGTAGTGACCGAAACAGGTGAAAATCTGAAGGTGCAAGGTCAAGACTATATGGTGGATGCATTAACACTTCCCAATCAAGCGTTCTCAATGTTTGTTGAGTGGCTAAAGATTGTGTGGTCTGGTGTTATCATGATGATAAACCACTCCTTTTTTGATGGTTTATTCCGGCTGTTTTTTCTCGATTTCTTGCTTGATTCTAACAAGTCGTTGGTAGTAGAGATCTAAATCAATGGTTTTGCCCAGCTATAAAAGCTCGTAATAAACGATGCCCTTTTTATCCTACCGTCTGGCCATGAGTGGACTAGACTACCGTTTGGCCATGATCTTTTACGTACGATTTTGTCGCAAGTAATCCACTTACATCGCCAGTGATTAAGTTTTGCAAAAATGGTTCAGTTTTATTACTTTTCAATAGAGAATCGCAAATGAGTACACGATTCCTTAGGTTTCTTTCAGTGAGCTCGTGTGATACCTAGGGCTGCCATCCGTCCCGGTTTCCCCGGATTTGCCCTAGTTTGGAAGACGTCCGGGGAGTGTCCGGGCGGGGTTTAACTACAATAAAAGGGGGGGGACTACAATAAAAGTCCGACTTTTTCGATCAGATCTCGTTCCTATAATTTATGTAAATAAAAGCTATGGGTTAGGTATTTCTCTCTTGAGATTTGATTGTCACAAGAACGATTAAACACACTATTTCATGCAACAAAAGAGGCTTAAAATTAAAGTTTTCTTCTATCAAGTACGGAGTAAAATATATTTTAATCAAGATGTAAGTGAATGAAAAAAGTATTGAAATGTCCGGGGTGAAAGCTTCTAAATCCGGGGAACTTACGCTTCCGGTCCTGGGGGCAGGTTTTAGAGATGGCAGCCCTAGTGATACCTAAATATCGAACTTTTTTGTATAACCAAACTCTCTAATGGCTCAAAACTGTTTTTGGTCAGTCTTCAATTCTTCGGCTATGTTGTAAAGAACTACTCCACCACTTTTTCAAAAAAAGGCATCGACTTTATTGGTATGTAGGTGACCAGAGCGAGCTGCATCCTTTTTTGTAATAAAACTTCAAAATGTGTCGTATTTCTTCGTTGGATTCACTAATTTTGGCAGACAGAAAAACAATTGAATTAAAATTGAATTAGAATTTCAAATTGTGAAGAAAAAAGGTTTGTCTTTTTAGTGGAAATTAAATTTTGTTGTTACAATGTTTTCAGTATTAATAAAAGTCATTAAAAAAATAATTTTTCCTTATAGCTGATAAGACGTCGTTTCTTGAAGACCTAGGACACCTTTTTAAGGGTAAATTTTATATTTTTAGATGAATCGTTAGTTGTTACTCAGAATTAACAAGCACTTTATACTACTGCTAAAAAAGTATATTTTTTGAGTTATTTCGTTTGTCAACCCTAAAAAATCCACCCATTCTCCCTCTATCCATCCCAGACGGTGGTTGATAATCGGAGTTCACTTTTATTTTTTTCTTCCGACTTTTTACTCCAAGTACAGTTTAATACATACACTTTAATTATTAATTAATTTTTAATAACCAAAAATGTAATCAAAAACATATTACGTATTGCCGTTACCATCACCATTACAGCCGTTACAACTTACAACGTAACGAAACGTTCGTTATAACGTAAATAAAGAATGTTTGTCTTCATTTTAAATTATTTTATGTCAAGATTTCAATCAATTTGTAATTCTGTGAGGTACTTCTTTTAATTCGGCGTTTACCTTTCAAACAAAACAAAGTATCTTGGGTCAGTTTTTTATCATATTTCTATAAATTACTGTACACAGCAGATTGAGAAAATCGAAAGAAAAATAATATATATGAATTCCGATTATGCACCCCGTCTAGGCAACTATTAATTTAGCCCCTGAAAGTGGGTAGAAGTTTTAAACTTAAGGGCTAATAACCGACGTAAATTTTGTGCTTGTAGTATGTTTATCAATAAAGACTATTATTTCTTTTAATACATTATCATAATTTTCTGTTATCGAATCTGGGTATGCCAGAAGAAGCATAAAAGCAAGTTGAATGCAGTGGAGATGCGATCTCTTCGTAAAATGTGTGGCGTTACCTTAGCCGACCGAAAGCGAAACGAAGAGATTCGCAATATGGCAGGATTGAAAGATGACCTTATCACAAAAATTGATAGGGGCGTACTCCAATGGTTTGGGCACGTTGAACGAATGAGTGAAGACCGAATGGTGAAGAAAATATATAGAGCGAAAGTAAATATTAAAAGGTGTCGAGGTAGACCGAGACTAACTTTCGAAGACCATGTGAGCAAATTGCTCGAAGAGGGGAGGGTCAAGAGTACTCGGATACCTAGACGTGCATGTATGAAGAAGTTAATGAACCTGAAAGAAGCGAAAGAGGTGTGTAAGGATCGTGACACTTGGCGATCTGTTCTCTCTGGCTACCCCGTTAGGGATTGTGCGTGAAGATAAGTAAGTAAGTAAGTAAGTTCTGTTATCGAGATGTGTCGAAAAACCGTATTAGGTTATTTTTACAGTAAAATATACGCACAATATTAAATAATCATAGTAAATACAGCACGAAACTTACTTTTGAATGGAACGCGTGCCACTATTTTTTTTGCTCGATCTTACATGTTTTAACAGCTTCTGCGCCGGCGTCTAACTAGCCTATTTAATATAAATCGCGTGTTATGTTTACCTGATTTATTAATGTTACCAGATATAGTGCAGTTATTTACAAATGCATTAAACTTCATTTCGTAAGATAATATTTATTAAAACCGTTATTAAGGCGACATCGTGAAAAAATACACCTCCTTACATCGAATTGTATAAAGACTATGACACCAATAAGGAAAGTGAAATTTTGATTTAGGTAAATTCATGTCTTTATCTTGAATTTGATTGTTCAAAAACACGATTGTATAATTTTGACTCGATCATAATTATTTGCGAAAACACCTCTAAAAATCACTATAGTTGAAATTACAACGAAATTACTTAATCTATATGCTTGGAAATTACTCAAATATATTCATAACATCAATATTCATAATTTACTTGCTCATTATTTTGATTACTTAAATCAATAATTTTTAAAAAATATTTTAAAGTTTCTGAGAATTTCTAAGCGCTTTTAATATTCGCGGGCGCTACGCTATTTTAGACCTTATGACGGCGTTTTTTCAAGTTTTTATAGAAATTATGTATTCACTCGAATCAGTACAGCGATAGCCCTTTCGATGTGTCGTCTTAAATCAAATTTACTGCATCACCTCGTGCCAAAGGCCGAAATCTAGACCCGGCCGGCTTACCGGCGCATCGACCCTACCTATATGTTTATTATATTATGTAAACTTATGTATTTAGGTAGTGAAATATACGTTAAACTTTAAATCAACTTTTATTAAATATCTTTACAAATGGGGAATATTAAAACTTCCGACAAAACCAAACATGCACGACAGTTAATGGTAATCTTAAATAATTAACCAATACTATTGAGCTATTATGTACTACGTACTAGAGGCGACACTGCATTCAGCTACTCTGTTCTACTCAACTGCGGTGCATACACCGCACTTTAATCAGTCACTGGCTAGACGCTTGTAGA